CCAATGGGGGCATCAGTGGCGATCGTCGGAGAGCTGCTGTCATTGTCGAGGTCGAGGCAGCTGCTCCCCAGGGTGTATCATGTTGAGAAAGGTGTAAAAACAAGTTTCAGATTTCAGTCCTAAAAGTGCTCAAAACTTCACGCACTGAAATCTTTTTTGGTGTGTAGAGCTCCTCGAATGGTTTTTTGGCATGAAAACTTGCAAGCACCTACAAAGTTTGATCATCTTTGATGTTGCAACGTTTTCAGATATTTTTGATTTTTTTCTATTTTTGATTTTACTGTTCATAAGGTGCCTAGTACGTACAGGTACAGTCATCCGGGCACCCCTCTGCAACGTAAAGCAAAAGTGGAAGGAAAAAGAAAATAAAGCAAAGTAAGCTAGCAGTGCACGCACTGGTAAAAGGAACCACCCTCCACTATCACACATCCTACTCATCCCTCACTCTCTCCACGCTCTTCGTCTCCAGCACAGGTTCTGCGACTGCTCCACTGCTTAGCAGCAGCCATGTGTTGCATCTCCTTCTAGGTTAGAGAGAAATTGCGTATGATACTTCAAGAAGTTATGCGGGGACATCCTGTACTGTTAAATAGAGCATCTACCCTGCATAGATTAGGCATACAGGCCTTTCAACCCACTTTAGTAGAGAGGCGTACTATTTCTTTACACCCATTAGTGTGTAAGGGTTTCAATGCGGACTTTGATGATTATATTAGCAGGCGGCTGGACCAGGCGGATTCCACAGACCGACAGAACTCAACTCGCGATCTTCTGAGTGAATTCAGACCCAGCCAATCCGGTTAGTACTACTCGCGACCTCCATGTTCACTGTTAAACCAAGCTAGTAGGAAATCTATTTACCCACCTTTAATTTAATTGGACTTGGATTCTTCAGTTTAACCTGATTTTCAACTCTTCATTCATGCTCTAATGGAGCTAAACGGTTGTCATGTTCAAATATGCCAAAGAGGTTGAATTGTGTCGCAGCCAAAATTCTATGAATTTTGGAGAAAACATATTGTAGAAATACTCTTTAAAAAGGAGAAATTTTACGGATTTGCAAAACTATTAACTCTTGACTCTTGTCAGATAGTGAGGGCAGAGCAGGAGCAGGCACGCGTTGAAGCTGCAGGCACCCATGAAAACCCATGAGCCTTCTGGTCATCGTCTCGGCGACTGGGTTCATGGAGGGCAGCAGCACGTCGTCTCATGGAGCGATATCATTAGTGGGATAGGCCGTAGCCTTTTTATCAAATGCCTCCTACGGCTGTCCAGGTCAGACTATGGCCTTTTTATCAAATGCCTCCTACGGCTGTCCAGGTCAGACTATGGCTCTGTGGCATGCTTGAACCGCGACTTCAATTCGCTGGTCCGCAGTGGGGAGATCTACCGCTTGCGTCGCAACAATGGCATAGCAGAGTACTGGCTCTACTTCTCCTGCAACTCTCTGCAGTGGGATGCTTACGACCCGCACCTTGGGCGCTGGATCCAAGTGCCCAAGATACCACCGGACGAATGCTTCATGTGCTCTGACAAGGAGTCCCTTGCTGTCGGAACAGAGCTGTTAGTGTTTGGGATGGCACACATTGTGTAAAGATATAGCATCCTAACCAATTCATGGACAAGGGCTGATCCGATGAACTCGCCGCGGTGCCTGTTCGGATCGACAAGTGTTGGTGAAAAGGCATATGTTGCGGGGGGCAGCGATTCTTGTGGAAGAATACTTAGCTCCGCGGAGATGTATGACTCGGAGACACATACTTGGACACCCTTTCCTTGCATGAATAAGGCTAGGAAGTTGTGTTCTGGCACATTCATGGATGGAAAGTTCTATGTGATTGGTGGTGTTACCAACGACAACGAGGTGTTGGCATGTGGTGAGGAATATGACTTGGAGCGGCGGTCTTGGAGGGTCATCCACAACATGTCCGAGGGCATCTATGGAGTGGCCGGTGCTCTTCCACTTATTGCCGCTGTCAACAATCAGCTTTATGCAGCTGATTATAGTGACAAGGATGTGAAGAGGTATGACAAGCTGAATAATAGGTGGATCAGCCTTGGAAAATTGCCTGAACAATGCGTGTCAAACGATTCTTGGGGCATTTCTTTCAGAGCCTGTGGTGACCGGCTGATTGTCATTGGAGGTCCTAGGACTTATACTGGTGGCACGATTGAGATTCATTCATGGATCCCGGATCAGCAACCGCCTGTGTGGAATTTGGTTGCTAAACGGTCATCCAAGAGCTTCGTTTATAACTTGGCCGTGATGGGTTGCTGAGTCCGCTGAATAAAGATCGAATGCGGTAGACATTTATGAATAAAGATTATCCTCTGACCTTCTTGAATATTTGTGTTATTAGCTTTAATTCTGTTCGAGTTGCTAATAATATTCGTGTTACTTTTTTTTACTGCTTATGTGTAATGTGATACAAGATGGTCCTCTTGATCTTGGTTGTTATTGTTTCAGTTTTAAGTTGATGGTCAACTTGTGTGTTCGATTTCCATGAACTGATACTTCTGTTAGTCTATATTTGGGGTCGCGTTTGACTGTTTGAGTGCTTTTTCTTTTCTGTCGGAGTGAACAAATCAGGAATATATACTATTCGAAATTTGGAATTATGTTTCTAATGGAACCTTCTCCTAGTCGAGTGCTACGTCTTGTCACATGTTTTTTGTGGATTCAGGGCTCGACGCATACAAAATCAAGGCGCCGGCCTTGACGCCGCTCAAAGAGGTCTCAGGCTTGCTGTGGCAGCTCATGTCACCACCACTGGTACTGAAACACACGTCACCAGTTGAAGAGAAAATAGCTGTTATGTTTTGTTGTGATTTGGATTCCAGTAAGGTTTTGACGCTCTCCCTGGTGTTCTCATTGTGCGATGGCGGAAAGCGTCGTACCTCAACTCGAGGGGACGCCGTATGTGTTTATAGGCAGGGGCGCACCTTCCTGATAGCGCATACAGTTTGGATTACATCTTGGAGAAGAAGCTAGATAGAGATAAGATTACAAAGTGGAGATAAACTCTAGCTAACTACCTAACCGAACTACCAAGATATCTATCAGGAGAGAATATGCGGCAGCTCCTTGTCACGTACAGGGAATATGTTGTTTGACACCCTCCCTTAATCACAACTTCATCAAGTTGAGATTATACTTGAAGTTCTCAAAGCTTCGTATGGGCAAGGCTTTAGTAAACCCATCTGCAATCTGGTCTTGGGAATGTATAAACCGAATGTCTAGGAGTTTACTAACAACTCTTTCTCTGACAAAATGGAAATCTATCTCAATATGTTTCATTCTTGCATGAAAAACTGGATTTGCTGAGAGATAAGTTGCACCCAAATTGTCACACCACAGACATGGAGCTTGAGTGGTTTTCACACCGAGCTCCTTAAGAATGGATTGTACCCATATAATCTCTGCAGTAGCACTAGCTAGTGCCTTATACTCTGCTTCTGTGCTGGACCTTGAAACAGTAGCTTGCTTTCTGGCACACCAAGAGATCAGATTAGATCCAAGGAACACTGCAAAACCACCGGTGGAGCGTCTATCATCCAAACATCCTGCCCAATCTGAGTCAGAGAATGCACTAACAAGAGTGGAAGATGACTTGCTAAAATTGAGGCCAATACCCATAGTATCTTTCACATATCTTACTATCCGTTTTGCAGCAGTCAAATGAACTGTGGTTGGTGCATGAAGAAATTGACACACCTTGTTGACAGCAAAAGAAATATCAGGTCGAGTGAGGGTTAAATATTGAAGTGCACCCACCAGACTTTTGTATCTTGTGCTATCTTCTGAGCTCAAGGGTGTTCCTTCTGTGAGAGACAATTTTTCTGTACTAGACAAAGGAGTAGTAGTAGGTTTACAGCCTTGCAACCCAGCTTTTCTTACCAAATCATTTGCATATTTTTCCTGGGAGAGATGAAGCCCATCCTTGTGCCTCTTCACTTCAATCCCTAGGAAATAGTGTAAGTCCCCAAGATCCTTTAGAGCAAATTCAGCACTTAAGTCCTTCAACAATCCTGTTATTGCCTCATCAGATGAACTTGTGACAATAATATCATCAACATATATAAGAACAAATATTGATGTATTGGACTTATTGTAAATAAACAATGAAGTGTCAGACTTTGAAGGAACAAATCCAAGCATTTGCATCTTCTTGCTGAGACGAGAATACCATGCTCTAGGGGCCTGCTTTAGTCCATACAATGCTTTGTCAAGCCTGCATACATAAGAGGGTGCATGTTTGTTTTCAAACCCAGGAGGTTGTTTCATGTAAACCTCCTTTTCCAGAACACCATGAAGGAACGCGTTCTGCACGTCTAACTGTCGAAGACTCCATCCCCTGAAAACAGCAATAGATAGGACAAGACGAATAGTTGCAGCTTTTACAACCAGACTAAATGTGTCCTCATAGTCTATGCCATATCTTTGTTTAAAGCCCTTAGCAACTAGCCTTGCCTTGTAACGATCAACTGTTCCATCAGACTTCTATTTGATCCTAAAAACCCATTTGCAATCAATGAGATTTTTACCTTGCCTTGGAGGAACTAAGTGCCACGTTTTATTTTTCTGTAGTGCCACATATTCCTCATGCATTGCTTTTCTCCACTTCTCATCACCAAGGGCCTCCTCAAGCGTGTTTGGCTCACCTGGTTCACCTGTAGAGCAGACCAAACCATATTTTGTTATGTGTTTGTAATTAACTGGCTTAGTTACCCCTGACTGCAACCGTGTACGGCGTTGTGATGCAACAGCGTTGTTTTGCGCCACAGAGGATCCAGCAGATGAGTCCACCCGCGCCAGATCCGAGGCGGATCCGCCTGTGCCTGCAGTTTTGGCAGGTTCCGCTTCTGGACGATCTTCTGTGGCTCGTGGCTGGGGCGTTGAAGAGGAATCCGGCATAGAAGATCCCACCCGACCAGCGACCACGGGCTGGCTGAGACATGCATCTGATCCCGCGCATGCCGCAGCTGGGCCCGCGCCATCCGATCGCCCTGCATCGCGCCGCTTGTACACAGCCGGCTGGGTGCCAAACCGCGAGCCGATCGGGCCCGTGGAAGCCGGGCGCATGGCAGCCGCTGATTGGCGCGGGCTGGTGAAGCCGCCACCACCAACCACAACAGGCCACGTGGCCAATGCGGAGTCGGTTGCGGCTGGCGCGCCAGGATCCGAGGCAGATCCACCTGCCGCACCTGGCGAGCTGGATCCCGAGGCGGATTCGCCTGCCGCAGCTGGCGCGCCGGATCCCGAGGCGGATCTGGTCCCTCCGCCGTGACACACGCAATATGGACAGTGTGTTGCACTGTTTTCTTCATTTTCTTCACTGTTTTCACCGCTATGATCTCCTGGGGCATCACAAGACTTATGCAAATAGTTAGGAGGATTAGTCATCAAATGATCATCGCAGTTATCGTGCCCCCCTTGATCATAACCAGAGAGGTGAGGTGGAAGGAGTAGGATTTCTTTACGGAGTAAGGCACCGGCGTTGGGGTGCAGATCAGCAAAGGGGAATTTTGTCTCATCAAAAACAACATCTCTAGAGATGTAGACACGACCAGAAGAGATGTCTAAGCATTTGACACCTTTGTGCTAAGCGCTATACCCAAGGAATGCACACTATTTGGAGCGAAACATAAGCTTGCGGTTGTTGTAAGGGCGGAGATTTGGCCAGCATGCGCATCCAAACACACGAAGAGATTTATAGTCTGGTTTTACGTGGAGAAGTCGTTCTATGGGAGTTTCATTGTTGATAACTCTGCTAGGAAGCATGTTGATGATGTGAACGGCAGTGAGAAACGCTTCGTCCCAAAATTTAAGGGGCATCGAAGCTCCAGCCAAGAGTGCAAGGCCAACCTCAACTATGTGCCTATGTTTGCGTTCTGCAGACCCATTTTGTTGGTGAGCGTGAGGGCATGACACATGATTGGAAATGCCTAGTGTTTGGAAGAAGGAGTTTAATTTTTCGTATTCTCCTCCCCAATCTGATTGGACAGCAAGAATTTTTCTGTCAAACTGGCGTTCAACAAGAGCCTGAATGTTTTGAAAGACTTGGAACACTTCTGACCTTTTTTTAAGGAGGTAGAGCCAAGAAAACTTGCTATAGTCATCAATAAAGCTAACATAGTATGTGTGTCTACCAACGGAGCTTGGAGCAGGACCCCACACATCAGAAAAAATTAACTGCAATGGTTGAGTAGAAACACCGGTGGAAATGGGATAAGGGAGTTGATGACTTTTTGCTCTCTGACAAGCATCACAAATGGTTTCAACATTGCGCTCACCAACAACCGGGAGCTTATTCTTTTTGAGTAAATGATCAACTAAAGAAAATGAAGCATGCCCTAAACGGTCGTGCCATCTTGTGGCTGAAAGCTTGATAGCACCACAAGCTTGTTTATTGTATCTTCGAAGCTCCGGAATCAACGGATAGAGTCCCCGAACACATCTACCTCGATAGAGAGTTTTCCTCGTGACCTGATCCTTGATAAAAAAGAAGAAGGGGTGAAACTCAATATAAACATGATTGTCAAGAGTGATTCGATGAACTGATAGAAGGTTTTTGTCGGTGCTAGGGACATGCAAGATTTTCCTAAGATGAAACTGTCTACGTGGGGTACGAAAAACTGAATGACCAATGTGACGTATCCTCATACCTGCACCACTTGCGGTGTGGATTTGGTCTTTGCCGTGATATTTTTCTTTGAGCGTTACTTTCTCTAGTTCGCCGGTGAGATGGTTTGTCGCGCCGCTGTCGAGATACCAGTTGGTATCGACACCGTACGAGCCGTCAGCAGCAGTAGCGATCTTTTCTTCATCTTCTGATGAGGCCTCGTCCTCATCAAACCGGTACCAGCAGCCCTTCGCTGTGTGGCCCGGCTTGCCGCATATCTGGCAGCGAACCGCGTCCGGGCGCGATCTGGAGGACCCGCCGCGGCGGCCCCTGGTGTTGGTGGAGTTGGCCCGTCCGCGGGAGTTGAACCCACCGTTGCTGCCGCCGCCTCCTTGCTTGCCCTTGGGGCGAGGCGGGCCACGATGACGGGAGTAGCCACCGCGCCCACGCATCGCTGCGTTAGCTGACGATTTGAAGCCGCCCGATCCCTGGTACTGTGCCACCCTCTGATCAAAATTACTCAGCATTGAAAAGAGCTCATCGAGGTATACCGGGGAGGTGCGGGCGTCGAGGGCGGAGACGAGCGGCTGGTAGTCCATGTCGAGGCCGTGGAGGATGTAGGAGACGAGTTCATCGTCCTGGAGCGGCTTCCCGG